GGATTCAGAGAAGTGTACTACCTCCATCGTCAGGTAAACATCAGCGAGATTACATCTTGAAGGCAGTAATCTTCGTTTATAATCTCTGCTGGTGACACAGGTCTGTTAACGTAACCAAAGTTCAGGGTCTAGTGGGTCCTGAAAACTTGATAGGTAGCTAAATTGTTCGTCAATAATTCCCTGCTTTATGGAACATTTTCTTTAAAGTGTGCCACGGAATACTATTCTGAGATAACTAAATAAGGTCTCATAAAGATATGCGATTTTAACGGAATTTTTATTTTGTAAATATTATAAATAGCTTCGGAACAAAAGATCTGTATCTGCAAAGAACTGACATCAAGCCAAAGGAGGCGTGGTAAATGTGCATCTAGGGAACGTGTACTCCAGTGAAGCACGCTTAGAGTTCGTACTTACACTGTAGGCTGCCGGTCAGCTCCTCAGTCACCGTAGAACGTTTCAGTGCTTTGCATTGCGACAGCCGTGGTGCGTGGTGGAAAACGATATCAGAAAGCGGTTCACAGTAATTGCTCATCAAATACGACGCTTTTATAAACCCAGGACACGTACCAGGTATTGGAAACATCGAATTTAAATGCAGTATAAAAAAGTGCGTCCCGCAATCAGACTAAAATAAATCGAGTCTTTTTTTTAAAGCGTTCGCTTTCAATATGCATTGATTGCCCATGCGACCGTGCATATTAATTAAGTAAAACATATGGATCTTTTAAGTAAACATTTTCGCTGAACGGCATCCGAGATTCTACGTAATTTTGTTTTCACCGATTGTGAAACTACCCTGGGATCACGCAGGAAACCTCAGTCTTGAGTAAGCCGAGAATATTACTTAAAGCAACTTTATCATCGTTCCTCGAATAACTAAAGATAATATTCACAGAAGACTGTGAAGACTTGTTTATTTTTTAAGAGACCAACAAAACTTCTTTAAAATGCATTATTTCAACTTCTTCTTTTGTACCATCGGATCGGAGCCGACCCCTGGTGACATTATGAACAAGATCCCTCTGATAGGGAGCTGTTCATATGTTTCCTAGGCAGGTAATGCAGAAGTGGTTTGCCGTTGCCTTCTTCTGTGTGTAAATGATGATGAAAATGGAGTAATTGTTAGGATGCCAGAAGTTTATCAATGTTTCACAGGTACTTGCTGCCTCCATCGTCAGAACCCATCTCCCTGATGACGGAGGCAGTCATCACATCGAACAAGTCGGTAAACCCACATCAGACTACACGGCGCAACCCAGAGGACAGCCATCTTCCAAGTCTCTATATCGTCGCAAATGTTTCTCTGTCCATATAATGAAGACATCCAAAGAAATTTCTCGCTGGCCTTCATGTTAATACAAACCTGTTATTCTAAAGCTAATTTCTCTACAATTATTATTACATTTCATAGAGCCAATTTTACTTTTAATACCCACGATAACATATGAAACAAATTAGATATAAATTATATACCTTAATGAGATTTACATTTCGTTGGATTTGAATATCGTCCCATGGTTTGGCACATTAATAAATGAACCTAAAGCATGCCAACATGCAGTGTTTAGATAATGAGGCTATGGAATTACACACACACGCACGTCTTACTATTGCAGAAATGGTTTATGCATGTAAAATGGCGATGGGTATATAAGTAAATTATTCCGCCATAAGCACTATTTTAAAAGCACTGCCTATATAATCATAGTGTTGGAACTTGCTTTTAGATTTGATGGTGCTGACAGAAAATGATAATATTCGGCTCACGTACTCACGATCACAGATCGCGCAGATTCAGTCACCCATGACAATTTATGCTGATCTGAACTCGCGCATTCAACAAGACACAGTTGATATAACCGAACATGTTGTTTCACTTCATCACTGTTTCAGAAACTTTATCAATTTTACACGTGTTACTTTGTACTCTCTATCCATCTTTTCTTTTTTTACTCAACAATTTCCTTCTCTACACATTTCGCGCTTCGCTGCATTATCTTTTCATTTATAAATTAAATTTCTCAGATGCATTCATTTCATATGACAGAATTGCCTTCAATGTCTTTTATCATGAATTCAGAGTCAGTCTTCTTTACGTGAGTTTTCGCATTACCGGAATCTCTTTTTTATCCGCCTATATGCGCCATCCACTTTCTTTTTTGGGAATACGCGGCTGGTATAAAAATCGAAACTCAATAAACAGTAAGCATGAACCTTTTCATGCAGATTTATGAATTCGTTTCTCGTTTTACTCACATATGTTCAGTACTTTTCTTGTTACTGAACTTTGAACGTCTCGCCTTCTTTATAAAAGACTTGGCATCATCACTTCCTTCATAGATCTAGTATCACTCGGGACAAACATAGAATCAATTTCTATTCATTTATCACGTGTTAGGACCTTTTTCCTCTCAATATACATGCAGAAGATTTTAGCATACACATTGTTATCTACTGTGTTTTCTAATATAGAAAGACATTTTCCCTTCCGACACAGATTCTAGGTCTTTACTCTAAATTTTAAGAGTTTTTCCTTTCCCAGACAAATCCAAGATCACTCTTTTTTACACACAAATTCAGACGGTATGCCCATTTCAAACAAATTTATGATGCTATTTCTACCACAACGATTCAAGAATTATTTAATTCAAGACAGATTCAATATCTCCTTCTCCAGTTTCATGATCCGTTCCCTTCTGACGCAGATTCTGGTTTTCAGGACCGAGAGCCTCTATCCGTCAGTCTGTCGAATAGGGCTTCCGTCACCGAGCGCCATCCATGTCTCTCCCCTCAGACAGCAACACAGCTTAATGCAGTTGCATAATTCTGAACAAGAACAATGCTGCGCTATACTTGGCCCGCAGCAAAGCTCTTGACAATCGAAAGCACGCGTCTTGTTTCAAGGGGACACTGCACCAAGGCCGTTGTGCCTACAGCATGGCCAACTTTAAGGCATTATATATTCCGCCGCCACCACAACCCTTAATAACCACAATATTAGCTTCGGAAAGGGGCGGGTGCAGTTCGGTCTTGTTATTGCAATAGGGGTGAATTTAAAAAGTCGAATTCGTTCTCAATGGCCAATATTAAGCTTGACGGCCGTGGCAGAATACCGGGACCATATGCTGCCGAATTGGATAATGATATTTCGTCTCACGGCAGAGGCTTCCATGCGGAAAGCGACTGTATGACACGAGCTGATAGCGCTGGGATTTAATGCAGACAGCAATACGGTCAAATCATAGAATTCAGATTACTAAAACATGTAGCAATGCATTTTGTATCAATATTAAATTTTTAATGGTAAATTAATGTTCTTCTTTATATTGAATATCCTAATATGTAAATATGGTACTTACTATTGTCTGTTTTGTCACAATGTTCTACTGCGTAATATCAAAAGGCAAATACCCCAATCTGAAACAGCGTAATGGCTGAGTTTACTAAATTGTATACTACAATCGAAGTGACATTCATAAACATTTGAAGAACGAAATTAATCTAAATAATATTTAAGCCTTCAGTTCATACCTCCAAGAAAACACAACGCTTCTTCATTACGTAGGTCAATTGGTTAACTCTGTTCAGGGAAGAAATAACTATTTATTCTCAGAATCTTAAGAAACATAAACACACGCTGCCGAATAACTGGATCTTAATGTAGGTGGCGCATAGGAGTAAATCATTGTCCTTTAGAGTTAACACAACTGGCTTAAGTTCTAAGATACTGGTTTCAGAAATATTTTTTATCCATGCCATGGCTTTTTATTACAAGGACTAAAGCGAGAACCGTTCCAAAACATAAAATTGCCCGTACTGTCTAGTTAAAATCCCTGAACAGCGCCTGTTAAAATCGCTACGTCTATCCGTCTGTACGCGCGAAACAACTTGAAATCGTCTGCACGGTTTTTCATGACATTTGAAACTGAGGAGTTTCGCTAAAATTTGTTTAAATTTTGCCATTTTAGTTGAAATCGGACAACAATAACGGGGAGTATGCATGAAGATCTACACGCATTTGTGGGTACAGAACTAACCAAGTTGAGATTTCTCTACCTACTTTACCACGGTTACCTTATATGAAGATAATATTCTGGCGAACTCGTCAAAATTGTTATGCTACTGTACATTTCCTAACCTGTTAGAATACTTAGTAGTATATTTTATAGCAAAGAAGTAAATTTATCTTCGAAAAAATTAAAGCAAACCATTAATGAAGAGAATATAAAGAAATATGTTTATCTTTTAAGATTAAACAAATCTGTTGAGAAGCATTCTGTGTCAATTTCTTCCAAAATCTATACGTCTAGCCCATTTTAACCTCCTCGATTTACTCATAATACCGTAGTTGAAGAAGTCCCTGGCGTTTAGTCATTTTCATTAGAAAAACTTCTCTTAGGTTAAAATATTTCCCCTATCACGCACACAATGTGTGATTAAATATTGTTAAGTGCCTTGTTATGTAGGTATGCCATTCACGAAGCAACTTGTGTTCATTCCGACCACGCCATGGCATTTCACGAGGAATTTGCACTTAGCTTTGGCCACTCGTCCAGTCACTGCGGTAAACTGTCAAATACAAACACGGTTATGTCTGGCTGGAGAGGTATGCGTGAATTGGAATATCACAAAAGGTATTTTACTCCGATTCCCCAGCAGATAATTCACGTAACGAAGTTAAATGGGACCACGAATCTCACTAAACTGTATTCCAAATTTCCATCGTCTAAGACAGACCCTATGCCAAATTTAAACATCAAATATTCTGGGCAATCTAATACGAACTGTTAAATGAAAAGTACGTCCCTGTTAAAATGATTAATGCCAATTTATTATAACTGAAAGAGAACAGTATTTAGGCCTACCCTTGCCCTTATACAGTCTTCCTGCGATGAATAAGAACGGTCTTTTATTTGTACCACAACTCCCGCCACAGTCCTAGCAATGTGTTCTCTGTAGCTTTGTCCTCTATCCCATTTTATATTCAGTCCAATAAGTTGATGATATATGATATATTATACCAGTGTTGTCCAAAGTAACAGTCGCGTAATAGATGTCTCTTGAGGCCAATGTCACATTTGTTACCCAGAAACCACAAACGAAACTCAACTTCTTACGGCACTCCGTCCTTGATGTTCTGTGTATCTCACCGTGTCGCATTAGTGTAAAATTTCCTGCATCATTCTTCAGGGTCTAAGTGTAGGAGATTTTATGTACTTACATAAGCACATAACTATCAAGATTTGTGATCGGTCAGCAGTAAACTATACCACATGAGAGATGATAAGTCATACATTTCCACATAAACCCTCCGACGTTGTTAATCCGACACTGACCCTGAAGAAGGAAGAAGCATGTTCCTTGGAAACGTATATTTATACAATCCTGACAAAGCGCAATACACAGACAACTTTACATTTAGCCTTGACGTGAAGTCTGTCGTGTAGTCTTCCTGGGGACTGTAGGCGTTCTACAATTTTTCACTGAATCGTAGAATCTTGTATCCTTTTATACCATGTGGTTAGAGAGATGAATTTTATTCCGGTTTGTTGAACCAATGTAAATGTTATTTAGGCAACATGGATGATTGCCCCTTGAGGCTGTAACGCGTCTGTTAATAATAATTTGCACACAGAGATAAAGGTTACTGGACACACACAAATATTTATGTTATTTGAATGGTACAAGATAACTTCTTACTTTACGGAATAACGTTTTTCATCACCCTTTGAAGCACAAAGTTAATCTCAGTACTACATAAATATTACGTTCCTACTACCAAGAACATACACATCATCTGTTACAAAGTTCAGTCAGTTAATGATGTTGGAAAGCAATCGCTAGTTATTCTGAGAACTGGACGAAACACATAAATACACTCTGGACCCCATGCAGAGTTATTGAATGTTAAAGCAGCGCTGCGGTTTAAGGAGTCAGAACACATGGCGGGCTGCAATGCGGACAGTAGATTTACAAAAGCAAATGTTCATCCGTTCGTTTGTGAAAGGAAAAGCATCCCTAATGGGCAATGCATGTTCTGTGTGATTTCTAAACCTCTCCTGAAGAAACTGGCCTTCTCCGTGTCAGAGACCCGGCACTGTTGGTCGTCGCGATAATATTTGACACAGACGCACCACCGAGCAAGCATTTAGCATGAGAGCCACAAAGCTTTGCTTGCAAATCAGGATCCTGATACATTTTAGATTAAAAGTTTCTTTAGAGTAAATAAAAAATATAAGAATGTTTAAATGCAGTAGGCCTACGACCACAGTGACCACATAAAATATTTTCGGTTTCAAAATCCATCAGACATTATATGCGAAATTTGGTCGGGTATTAGATACTATCTACATATAACGTGCCAATAATTTTTGTCGTGCGTAAAATACGTAAAATATGCAATAATTTAAAATTATATTTTAAAAATAAGAGTACCTGTCAATTCTGCATGCTTCTATAACAACTTACAATTACCATCGGCCTTGTCGTGTTAATCAGATAAGAAGCGTACAACAGACTTTAAATTGATTGTAATTACTGATGTAAGTGGAAGCAGGCGAGAGTTTTTTTCTAGTACACGAAGAACAAAATGGTCACTTTAGAAATCCACTAACCCCACGAGTTCTGCGCCGAGATACTTCGTAGATTTACAACAATTTATATGACACGAAATTGCCCCTCCCAGAAGAAACAAAATAACTAAAGATTGCTGTCTCCTGGGTTGTTACGCCACTGATGGTGGAGGCAGTAAGCTCCTCTGATACTTCGGTCAATATCTATCAGACTAACAACCCAGACGACTGCAATTTTCATGTTTGCATTCTGCTGAAAGTGATTT